TTTACATTAGGTGCAAAAAAAGTAGAAAGCTTTTGAAATTACACAGTCAGAGCTTTTATGTCTCCAAAGCTGCAAGCCAAGTAACCAGAGCCTCGTTGAAACGAGGTTGCGAAGCTCGGATTGTATGGATCCGATTTCTCACCATATGGTCGATCATCTTACTCAAGGTTTGGGTTGTGTGATAGGGTTCACCATGTCGTCGTCCATTTCTTTCCTTCCAGATTGCAGATATTGCCGCTTGAAAAGCATAGCGATATAGGAATTTTCCGAGAAAATCCAAGTTACTCGAAGTTAGAAGAGCAATGCAGGAATTCCATTCATCGCTCCATCTCTGCTTCAGCAACCCCTTTGTAAGATACTTCCACACCTGCTGCAAGTAGCTACAGGCGAAAAAGAGATGATTGCGCGTTTCACCCTGTTGTAAACAGAGGGTGCACTGATCCGATACCGCAGCATTCCACTGTTTAAGCCGATCCCCTGTAGCTAACCTTTTATGAACCGCTAGCCATTCCATGAAAGAGAGTTTTGGCGTCGCATTTGGAAACCAAATCCCCTTATACTAGTCGTTCCGATCATGGGTTTTCCGCAGCTGCACCCAAGTCTCCTTGGTTGAGAATTTCGGTTTGAATTTGCCATTTGAGTGCCTCCATAATATTCTATCGTCTTCTCCAAGAACTCTGCTTTGACGAATGTTGTCCAGAGCATCTTCGATGGAATTCAGAATAGATTGACGATAACGCCGTCGTCTATGATTATCAAGAACATGCCCGAGTGTTGCGTTCACTGCAATACCAAAATCTACAATCTTCCCCAATGGTGACCAGCGATCGAACCAAAACTGAGTGGAGAAGCCATCCTTCACCTCAATCCTGTAAAAATCATAAGCTAAAACTCTGTACTTTAGCAGTTTTCGCCACATCCAAGAGCCAGAGGCAGAGTTCACATTCAAAGACCAAAAGGAACTCTTCCTGATAAGGTTCATCTTGATCCAATTTACCAACAGCGATCCCCGAGCTGAGAGAATTCTCCAAACTACCTTTAGGCAGCATATTTTGTTCGCTTCTCGCAGTGGTCGCAATCCCAATCCTAATCCTCCCTCCTCCAAGGGTCGACAGACGTGATCCCACGCAGTCTTAGACTTTCTGGTATTCAGTGCAGGGCCTGACCATAGAAACGCAGAACAGAGGCTTTCGATTTCGTCAATACAGCTCCGAGGAAGTCTGAAAGCCGAAATCCAGAAATTCGAAATGCTCGCTATAACAGATTTTATGAGTTGTAATCGACCTGCGTATGAAAGAGCTCTAACTGTCCAGTTGCTGATCTTTGATCTGATTTTCTCGATGAGTGGAGCATAGTCCCCTCGAGACATACGCTTTGTAAGCAGGGGTAATCCAAAATAACGAACCGGAAGAGCTCCTGATCCAAATGGGAAAGCATTCTCTAATTCCTGTCGTCGATTTCCAGCGACCGTAGCCAGATATAAAGTCGACTTTTCCAAGCTAATTTTGAGACCTGAAGCAACTGCGAATTCATCAAATACTTTGATTATCCCTTCCATTGAACTCCTTTTCCCATCTGAGAAAACCATTATATCATCTGCAAAGCAGAGATGTGTTAGATTAAGAATCTTACACTTTGGATGGAATCCAAATTTCTTTGCTTTTGCAGCCTCATCGAGCATCTTAGATAAACCATGCATACAAATCACGAACAGATATGGCGACAGTGAACAGCCCTGCCTTAAACCCCGCTGACTCCGAAAGAACCCTGCCAATTCTCCATTAACCTGCACTGAGAATGATGCAGTGGAGACACACAACATCGTCCAGTGAATAAACTGATCCGGGAGCCCCAAAGCAACAAGAGTGTTCCTCAAAAAATCCCACTGTACTGAGTCAAACGCCTTGGATATATCAATTTTCCTAGCACATCTTTGAGATATCGACGGTTTATGATAGTCTTTAACCAGTTCTGAAGCCAATAGAACATTCTCAATAAGGAGTCTGTCCTTAACAAAAGCAGACTGATTTGGTGAGATGAAATCCGGGAGGATCTGTTTGAGACGATTAGCTATGATCTTGGATATGACCTTATAGACGACATTACAACATGAGATTGGCCTGTAGTCTTTCATCTCCAGAGCCTATTCTTTCTTTGGAATCAACGCTAGAATAGAAGAGTTAATCCCCTTCGGTAAAAAGCCCTTCTGGAAGAAAGACTGAACCGCAATTGTGAAATCTCGACCAACCGTTGGCCAAGTTTGTTTAGAAAACTCGCTCGTAAAGCCATCTGGACCAGGCGATTTATCATTCGGCATAGCAAACAAGACGCTCTTGATCTCCTTATCGCTAACCTCTCGAATTAAACACGCTTTGTCTGAATCAGAACACTTGTATTGCAGTAGCTGTTCAAGATTTTCCACTGGCAAACCGGCATAATCAGCTGGAGTAGCCGAAAGGAACTCACAAAAGAACTGTTCTGCCTCAGCTTTAATCTCATCCATTGTCCTCAACATTGCCCCGTTTACATCCTTAATCTCTCGAATGGAATTCCGCACTTCTCGTAGCTTTACAGCCTTGTGAAAAATTTTGTTATTGCCATCTCCCGCCTGCAGCCAATGAAGCTTCGATCTTTGTTTAAGAAAGCTTTCTTCCAGATGTGACACATGCGACCACCGTGTGAAAGCAGATGATTCCTCTAAAACATTCTCAGGCGTAGGATTAAGCATGTTTGCTCTCTGTTTTTCACACAAAGTTTCAAAAGCCTCCTTTGCTTTCTGCGAAAGATTTCCCATCTGCTCTTTTCTGATGTCTCTAATCATTGGCTTGAGAGCTTTGAGTTTTTTAGAGAACCGATAAAGGGCTGATGTTGAATGAAATAGAGTAGTAGTACCAGACCAGTAGCTATCAATCCGTTGATGAAACCCCGGTAGAGTCGCTATTGCATTAATGAATTTGAAAGGCCTCTTGGTTTTAGGCTTCTCAGCATCTAACATAATTCTGCATCGCAGATGATCTGAACAACCACCTGGCTCAAAGACGCAGTATGACCGAGGATAACTCTACATCCAATGTTCATTCATGAGAACTCTGTCAAGTTTCTTACAGATCAGTCCGTCATCACGCTTATTGCACCAAGTAAACAGCGGTCCTTGAAAGTTCAGATCCGTGAATGAGCAGTATCTCGCAAACTCCTGAAAATCTCTTGTTCCCGAAGAGATAATTGGGAGCTCTCATCTCCCTCAAGAATTTCATTAAAATCTCCAAAAACCAACCAGCACCGATCCTTGAATCTAGGAGAATCATAATGATCCCTTAAATTGCTCCACAACTCTTTTCTATCATCCTCAAAATTTGATGCATATACGAAAGAGCAATAAAATTCCTCCTCAATCTCTTTCATCTTGACTGAGCAAGTGATAAGTTGCCCACTTTTAAAAACAGGTGTGAGACGCACAGATTCTCGCCACACCACCCAAATGCGGCCAAGCCTATTGAACTCATAGTTGGTCAAGGCTGACCATAGCTGAAAAACTGTATTTAAAACCCTTTCCGACTTGCTCTCCTTTACTCTAGTTTCCAAAACACAACCAAACAGGCACTGATTTTCCTCCACCCACTTCTTCACAATGGAATGCTTATTTGATTTATTAAAGCCGCATACATTCCAGAAGAATCCTGTCATGAATTAATGGTTTTTGTTGCGGCCCCTTTTACTCGCCACACTAAGAACAGAGTTCGTTGTGTTTTGAGCTACAGGCTCTGAAATGTATCAATGCGAGGTTTTAGACGCCCTGGGAAGAGTTTTCTGTAGCTGCCCTTCCGGTTTCTATTGTATCTCTGGTTGAAGATCCTGAATCTCCCCTTCTTCTTTAGATTCGGATGTTTCATCTGGTTGTTCAATTTCTGTTGACTCTTCGTCATCAGTCGACATAATTAAGAAACGGTGATGGAGAAGATATGTCCGTACTTGGATACTGATTCATTCCTTTCAACTTTTCGCTCTTTGCCGGTGAAACTTTAGTCCAGGCAATGTCATCCCTTGCCTGTTTAATCATCTTATCTTTTGTCGGACTATTAGATTGCTCATTTCTCTCAGGAGAGTCCCGAGCCGATGGAGTCTGACTTCGAGCTTTGCCATGAGAGGGCACCTTCTATGAACTACTGTTTCCTGTTGCAGGGATCGCTGATTCAGGATCAGTTAACTTGTTTGAAGTGGGAGACCCTGCAATTGCCTGTGTGATATCGCGTTGCAGTATTCTTACTGTTTTTGAACTCTTTTGCTTACAATCCTCCTTAACGTGACCCCATTTAGAACAGAGTGTACATTTCGGTGGGAGCCAGGGGTAGACATATTCCACAACATCATCTACTCCTAGATTGGATTTAAACCGATATGACTTAGGGAGCTCCTTTGACAGATCAGCGACAACAAAGACTTTTGCCTCTTCAAAGCTTTTGCAGATTTCCGTTTCAGGGTGGAGTTTTTTTGGCTCACCCACAGGACTAGCCAAAAACGAGATTCCATCCCATGAGAACATCTTTGGCGGGACTTTTCTGAGCGTTACCCAAATTGGGATAGATGTTATGCAGGTTGAATTTCCTCTTCCACCGGTGACCACTTTGAGAGCACCATCGGAATCTCTGCAATGTTCCACATACTGCGCCTTAAAACTCGAGCTCTAACTGATCCATCTCTGATCCGAAACTTGACGGTGGTGTCATTCACCGGGAATACGTCAATCTTAATAGATTTATCACCGTGAGTCCAAATTTTGTTAACAATAACATGGATTTTTGCTACATGCGGTGCTGCGGCGAGGAACTTGCCAAGGAGGAGATCCTCCCACAGAGGGGTTGAGTTTTCGATGACTGAATCTGGGATTTCAACAAACGAGCTCCCATCCACTTCTTTGATCTGAATATCATGTTTGGTTAGAATTGGTTTGCTTTGAACGATAGATGAATACGAAGTACGCTTGGGAACATCTGCTTGAGTATCTGACTGGGACAGAGGAGGGAGATCATCCCCTGCCGGAGAATCCATATCGGGCAGTCGGCGGCAAGCCACCGTAAACCCTTGCCTGGACGTGAAGAAAACGAAAACCCTAAATCACCTTTCTAATCGCCTTGTCATGTCAGCTCGACTCAAAATTTTCCAAATGATGGTTTTTTTCAGATCCTATCTTTTTTTTGAAGAGAGTTTTTGCTAAGTGCGACTATAGAAAGAAAAATTGGATCTTCTTTTCGGGAAAAAGAGGATTTTATTTATAGATAATACCTGATCCGGGTTCGCATACCAAGTGAATTTTCCTTGGTCTTATATTTTCTCGTCGGTTTGGTACTTTGGGTTTGGTACTTTGTCACTTAGCACACCTTATCCACTTTCCTTGTCGCTTATGTCTTACTACTCGACACTAATATCAGAGGCTCTATAATGGTACAAACATTGCTCGTACTCCGGTTATTTAACTACAAAAATACTGATGCTGTGTCCAACTGATTCCTGATCTTGGGAACAGCTCCTCTATACAAAGTGCTAAGGAGAGAGGCTTCTGAAAAGCCATGATGTGGACACTGATTTGTGTAGCTTCTAAACCTGTCCCAAGCTTCTCCAAAGGTTTCATTAGAAAGCTGAGTGAAGGTTGAAATCTGGTTCCTGAACTTGGCAGTCCTTGAAGTGGAGAAGAACTTGGAGAAAAATGCCTGCTTGCATTGTTCCCAGTGTGGATTGAACTTGGAGGTAGATTCTTCTCCCACTGATGAGCTTTGTCTCCCAAGCTAAAAGAATCAGCCTTAGCTTGAAACCAGCTTCAGAGACGCCATTTATCTTAGTTAAGTTGCACAGCCTATCAAACTGCTCTAGATGATCAAGAGGATCTTCCATGGGGAGTCCATGAAATTTAGAGTTTTGAACCATGGTGAGGAGTGATGCCTTAACCTCAAAGTTGTTGGCTTCAACCGGTGGAACTTGAATTCCCGCACGATGCTAATGTGCATTGGCTTGGTTATTCTCTCCAACATAGACAAGTTGTGGCTGAAGACGTCTGGGTGCGTTTGGGTGGGGCTGTGGTGTATTAACCTGAGGTCTGTCTTGGTTCTGGTTATCCTGTGCTTGTCCCTGATAGACCTGAGCTTGTTGAACCTGAATTCCAATCCCATTACCAGCTCTTTGACCGTGATCAGCTTCTTGAGCCTGATGCTCATTCCCAACTTGCTGATCCATTCCTAACCTTTCCAAGTGAGTAGCTCTTTCTCTTTGTCTTCTTAATTGACCTCTTGTGATCATACACCTGAAAACGAAGACAGAACTTGAAAGGGAATCAGTTAAAAAAAAAAAGTAAAGACTTGATCTCAAGAACAGATCAAAGCCTAATGCTAAACAATACACAATTTGGCAACGGCGCCAATTGATAGACAAGACTTTTTATGGTCTTAGGGCTATCAATCCCCTTATCAAAGTAGCACAAAAGAGGTTGTCAATCCAGGAATGTGGTGATAGACACTAAGATATGTGATCTGTTTCTCAATTCAAGTACCAAGTGAGGTTTTGATTGACTAATGACAACTAAAAACTTAAAACAAGATTAATGACTAATCAAATGATCAAACAAGAACTAAGTGAATGACAAGTGATGTGAATATGAGATGATTGAAGCATGAGATTCTAGATATGATAGTTGGCTAGGGTGCTTTGGTGCTAAACTGGAAATGATGATGACAATGATGAGACATGATTCAAATGATTTAGAACTCTAATCTAGATTAATCCTCTCATGAAGGCATTAACCTCTACACTAATCCATTTTCAAACCAAATCATCATTTGTGAAATATGAATCAATGAGCATTAAGGAACAGTTCTAAAAGATCATTTAAGCAAATAACAAGACATCATCATGCAGCAAATGCTTAAACCTCTAATACAGCTCTTTCAAGAATTTCATCAAACACTTTTGGTGCATGAAATTCCTAGAATCTAGATCACAAGTGATGTGCAAGAATTTAGCCTAGAGAACAACTGTTTAGAGAGATGAATCAATGAATCTAGCCCTAAGCACTTATAATCTAACACTTTAGCACCCTAACCTACGCATCTAGAACCTCATTAAGGTTACTACTCACTAATCATACTAATCTCTCTTAAACCGTTGCAAGTTGAGAAGATTGGCATGATTAATGATGAGAAATGGAGATGGAGAAGATGGATAATGATGGATTTGCAGTTTTAAACACAAAGATCTCTCAATCTCTCTTGATTAAAACCCTTAAAAATCGATATTTCTCTTCTTAAGAGGAGTCTTTCACAAAAGAGGCAAAGGAAATTAGAGAATAAAGCTTAAGCCATGATAAAAACCCTAAAAAACATAGTGTCTCTTGCGGACCGGGTCAGCCCAGGAAAAACTGGGTACTGACCCGCCTTCAAATGGGTCATGTGGGTCTAATACTTAAACTTTTGGCCTTGTAAATTGATAGATAAGACTTTTCATGGTCTCAGGGCTATCAATCCCCTTGTCAATGTAGCACAAAGAGGTTTATCAATCCAGATGTGGTGTTAGACACTAAGCTATATGATCAAGTTCTTAATTCAAGCAAACAAGAGTGGGTTTTGATTAATCTAGAGACAACTACAAACTTAAACAGGATTAAGGATTAATGAAATGCTTAAACAAGAACTAAACAATGACAAATGATGAGAATGTATGAATGATGATAAGAAAGGTCTTAGACATGATAGTGGATTAGGGTGCCTTCAGTGATAAACTAATGAGCTAATGAATCATATGATCAAGCAAGCCATTTAACATAAACATCTCTAACTAAGCTAATCCTCTCATGAAGGCATTAACTCCTATGCTAAATCAGTTTCAAACCCAATCATCATCAGTGAAACATGAGTTAACAAGCATTAAGAATCAGTTTAATCTGTCATTTAAGCATATAAACAATCATTCCCATGATGAATAACACTTAAACCTCTAACAACTTTGGTTCAGACATTTCATCAAACACTTTTGGTGCATGAAATGCCCAGAATCTAGACCACATATGATTTGTATGGATCTAGCATAGAGAACAAGTTGTAGAGAATGGAATATGCATGATCTAACCCCTAAGCTCACTAATCTACCACTTAAGCACCCTAATCTACATATCTAAGACCTTAATATGGGATTACTCACTAATCATACTAATCTCTCTTAAACCTTTGCAAGTTGAGAAGATTAGCATGATTAATGATGAGAAATGGAGATGGAGATGATAGATTCAAAAGAAAACAGCTTTAAACACCCAGATCTCTTAAAACTCTCTTGATTAAACACTCAAAAATAGATATTTCTCTTCTTAATGGAGTCTTTTCACAAAAGAGGCAAGAGACAAAGGGAATAAAACTTAGTTCTCCCCCAAAACCCTAAAAAGTATTTATACCTTCTTAAAAACGAACCGGGTCAGCCCGGAACAAACCGGGTCCTGACCCGGCTTTAATGGATAAAGTGGGAAAAGCTGCGGGTCGGTTCAGTATGTCCCAGGCCGCACACCTAAGTCGCAGTAGATGAAGACTTGTCTTGTGAGGCTTGAATCGCCTTGTCGGAGCCGCACGCCTATCTAGGAGTAAATTGCGAGTGTTTCTGCGGCATGGTCTCCTTCCTCTCCAACTCGCAGGGCTGAGCCGGTTTCTGGGGGATGTAGAAACTGTGCGGGTTGGTCTCTATTGCACTTAGGTCGCAGGCTCAAGTCGGAGTGAATTCCGAGTGATCGTGCGGCATAGATCCAGGCGCGGATGACTCGCATGCCTAAGTCGCACGATTGTGGACTTAGCATTTCTCTTGCTCGGGAGCTCCAGACCTCTTCCAGTGATAGTTTACCCGCACATTTCAACTCGCAGCATCAGCATTCAGGCGTTCATCTTCAGGCCTGCGGGTTAACCAAGTCGCAAGACCATCTCGCAGCATCCAGAGCAGCTTAGATCACTTCGCATTCCGGAGAGTGTAACTCCTGTGATACTTGTCCGAATTGAATGATTTCGGTTGCAGAAGACAGAGGACTCATTTATCTCCAACTTTTGTGAAGGAAGTTTCAGTGCTTGGGAGGTGGAAGGCTTCCTGGAGGGCACATCTTTGCAGTGCATGTATACGACCAGAGAGAGGCGTCTAGACATGTGTCCATTCCGGAGGCCGTATCTTCCTGCTCATAGATCCGAATTGAATGCTCTTGGACGTTCTGGAAAGAAGACTCAAATGTCTCTGATTCTCATGAAGGACCCGGAAGCTGAATCGGCCTGGAAGTGCACCGTCCTTCGCATCCTTCAGAACTGATCTGCTCGGTCCGGAATACCTGCGAGACAGGGGTTTCTTCCGACGAGCTTATCTCTCTGCTCACGCGTCCGAATTCTACGATTCCAATTGCAATGAGACCGTGCTTCAATGCTCTCCAACTTCTATGAAGGACCCGCCGTCTGAATCGGACCGGAAGGCTCCCCGGACAGGTGATTTCTGAGACTCGTTCGCACCCGGAGATTTTGGCCGATATACTTAATTCGCGGTACGTGAAAATGGCCGGTAAAGCTTCCCGCGGTACATGAAAATGGCCGGTAAAACCTTCCTGGCCAGCGAGAATGGCCGATAACCTCCATAGACTCAAGTTTTCCACTTTTTCAAGCTCTGCTCACCATTCCACCTCCTGGATTCATCTTTTCAGCTCCATAATCACCTGATAGACACTCAAAACATGCAAAGACTCATTGGGACCTAATGCATCTCCTAAGTTCTAAAACAAACCCTAAGGACCTAAAATACATGAAATAAAACATGATTTGGAATGATTTATGCAACCTAAATGATGCAAATTATGAACATATCAACTCCCCCACACTTGTCCTTTGCTTGTCCTCAAGCAAAAAGAGCAAATGAGAGAAAGAGGTTGTATGCAATGGGAGTTCACATTTTCTTTTTGAGAGAAGTGATCACAATGAGAATTCAAGTTCATGCTCAATTATGCAATGCAAAGCCATACTCAGATATATGTCAACTCAGCAAGGAATCTCCACAAGTTCTTCTCTCTCTCAACTCTTTCACATTCATTAAGCTTTTATCAGGTGGATCTCATGATGCAAGGTTTAAACAAGCTGGCTTGGCTAGGGAGAGGCTATGAGATTAAAATGATCTCATCAGTGTTCAAGTGGGTTAAATGCAGCAAAGGGATCTCTCTATGAATGATCAAACTTTGGCAGAATGCTAAAGGTAAAAAGCAACCTATGCATACAAGGGCAAAGACTCATCACTCCCCACCCTCTACTCAAAGCTTCCTCTCTTGCTCAAAGACCTCACTTTTCACACTCATTTTTCTCTCACTAGGGGATTTGTTCTTCACTTTCACTCTCAAGTCTTGGAACTCAAACTTTACACAGCTCTTTTTCTTTTACAACTTCTAGCCTCTTCTTTCTTTCTTATCAAAACATTTGAGCTTTTGGCTTCTTTTCTTTCTTTTTCACTTAGAGGCTAGATTTTTCTTTTCAACAAACCAGAGCTCACTTTCTCAAAACACCAAGACTGACTTCTTTTTCTTTCATTCCCCTAGTTATTTTCACTCTCTCTTTCCACTCATCTCACCTTTTTCCACTCACCAAAAAGTCTTTTCCCCCACACTTATTCCTCGCCAAAACTCTCA